CTCTCTCTCTCATGTTGGGTGTATGGCTTGAACTCAGGGAATGGACGTTGTCCCTGAGCCTCTTTGTGCTCAAGGCTACCACTCTGAGCTGGCTTTGAACTTTGATCTCAGATCTCAGCATCCTAAGTAGCTAGGATTACAGGTGTGAACCACTGGCACCCGACTTCTTTTTTCTTTCTTTACCCTCCCCTTCCTCTTATTCTGAACAGTCTCTTCTCCAAGCCAACTCACAGCTGTGAAGATCCCATAGGGGGGGCAGCAATGCCTGTCAGCTTCTTTCCAAGTCACAGCATCCAGATGTCGGGGCTGAACTCCTGGCCTCCAGGGGGCGCCAGTTCCTGAGCTGCCTCTTCCCTTAACCAAACTCCAAACATTTCCACTTATAAAATCCCTAGCCTTCTGGGACTCCATTCTGTTTGGGCTCCAGCCCTCTCTTGGCTTCTGAGGGAGAGACATATTCCATAGGCACTTTCGTGCACTATGTCCATAGCTCAGGTGGGAGGGTGGGGTCTGCCAGGATAACCACCATGTAAACTCCAGCAAACAGTGCTGGGCAGAAGAGCTCCAGGATACAGCCTGCCTGGGCCAATGTCTGTCTGCATGACCAGGGCACTGAGGGTTCCATGATGGTTCTTTGGGCACCTCTGCCTCTCTGGCTGTGGAGGTACAGGGCCTCCACTCTCCACAGTGCTGAGGGCCCAGGCTGGCTGGCTGCATTCTCACTGTTTCAGAGGCATAGAAGTAGACTTTCAGCACGCACAGATGGCAACACCAAGTTTTCTAAGACAAGGCCTGAAGAAGAGGAAATGGGCTCAGAAGCTGGCCAGGATGAGAATCAAACTGATTCTCCCCTCAGTCTCCACCTGTCACTCTGCCATTCTAAGGAGGTTTCTCCACCCTCTCCAGCATTTAAGATGACAATGGTGGAGTCATGGTTGTCCAGTCTGTGGGGCCCACAGGTGCTGGCTCTTCCCATGATGGCCAGGGACAAACACATCAGCACTTTTGTCATCTTTCCAAGAGGTCAGAGAACCATCCAGAGAGATTCAGGATGCCAAGAAACTCATTACAATCTCAGCTCCAGCTTTTTCCTAGGCTGGAAATAGGGGGGAAGGGGCCTACCATGTCCCTTCTTCAAAATCAAATCCAAACTCAACTAAGCTAGACATGTCTACACAGGGGGTGGGAGGGTCTGTGGTGATGTCTACCCTGGCCTGGCTCCCCAGACAGACCCAGAATCAGTTCAGGCCACAACTGGTTAACTTGCTGGGCGAATTGGAGCCCGCGGCAGCCTGTGCAGGCTGACTGTCTTCACTCAGCACTGTAATCGGCACATCTGCAGACAGGAAATCCTCCTCGCTGAGGTTCCCAGTCTATTATCTGAGACACCTGGTGTGGGCGGGTGATTCAGAGACAAACAATGAGGGGGCCCCCTGCACAGCAATTAACTGCTTTAACTGCTAATGTGTTTAATCCACTGCCTAGAGATCAAGGCTGGGCTGAGGAAGAGGCTGAGGCCCCTAGCTTCCCCAGTCTGGATGTTGATGCATTCATGGTCCTCACAGAGTACAGGACACAGGGAGCAGGGAAGGTCCATCACTCAGTCAGTCTGCCATGTGGTACCAGCCCCCTTCTGTGTGCGTGTGGCATTGGAGGAAGCAAGGGCATCCTTCCCTTTTCTGTTTTTAAATACCCTCAAAGCCCAGATTGTTTGGACACAGTAGCTGCTTGGATGGAAAACCCAATCCAGGCAGATGTTAGTGGAGCCAGCGAGGCAGCCCCCAGGGTGTTTTATTTTAACCTCCCGGAGTAGGTCATCCTTTATAGCAAGTAGAAATCATGCTTGGTTAAGGGCTTATCAGGGCAAAGCAGCAGAAAACATTCCCAGTTGTTAAACTGGGAAGTGGCTCCTGAATGTTTACAAAACCTGGCTCAGAGGAGGAGCGCAGTCAGCACATGCCCAAGAGCCCTCCCCACCACCCAGAAGGCGTGCCAGAAACCACTGCCGCCACTGTGCAGCCCTGGGGAAGCAAGGTCAAAGGCCAAGGGCTGCGAAAAGCTCCCACCCCCAGCATCAATCAAACCAGGCAGACTGTCTGGGGGATGCTCTTTTTTTTTTTTCTGAAAATAGAAAAAAAAAATACAGCAGACTCCCTGTGGGGGAGGTTGGGCATGTATAACATGGCAAATCTTCCTGGCAGAGGCCTCACTTGTATCCTGCCAGACTGCCTGCAAGCTAGGAAGACCTGGGGCTTTCCAAGACAGCCCTCTGCCATCCAATGGTATCTGGCTGCATAGACCACCCTTTAGTCCAAAGGCATTAGCTCAGGGGCTAGCTTGGTGGTACATGCCTATAATCCCAGTACTAACGAAAAAAGATTGAGTTCAAGGTCAGCTTGAGCTACATAGCAAGATCCAGGCTAACCTGGACTACCTAGCAAGACTCTCTCCAAAATAAAAATTGTTGCGCTTCGGTGACTCACACCTATAATCTCAGCTACCAATTTTGATGGCACAGGCCCCTCTGGGCCAATAACTGCACATTCACTTCACTGAGAACCAGATGAGCCTCTGATAAAGAACTAGGTAGCTCTGAGCCCTGTTTTGAGCCCAAAGGCATAGAGGAAATCCTAGAGAACTGAAAATACTGGGAGGAAGCAACATTGTTCCTGCTGTCCTAGGTTTTCCCATCAGCAGTATACAAGCTGCTAGGAGGCAGTCATATAGAGGTATGCATCCTATTACTTTGACCAGCAAGAGCCTGCAGCCCTCCTTAGGTAGCCCATTCAGTGGCTACAGGTCCTTAGTCTCCCAGCAGGCCTGAGACCTAGTCTAGCAGCATCTGGGATCACTGCTCTTCCATTGATCTCCAGGATGTCCTTCCCAGCCTTCCACATGCAGACACAGGCTCTGGGCAGGGGTCTCCCTAGGCTGTATCCATCCTTCCTCTCAGGGGTCCCAGATGAGCAAGCCATGTGTCTGGCAATAGGCTATTATACACAGCCCACTGAAAGTATCAGAAATCATAAACAGCCTGATCAGAATTTAACCCCACTCTCTCTCTTCTTGTGCTAGGAATAGAACCCAGAGCCTAAGTAACTGCTCATGACTAAACTACACCCCCAGTCCTCTGTCATTTTTTTTTTGCTAGTCCTGGGACTTGAACTCAGGGCCTGGGCACTGTCTCTGAGCTGCTGTTGCTCAAGGCTAGCACTCTACCTCTTGAGCCACAGTACCACTTCTGGCTTTTTCTGTTATGTGATACTGAGGAATTGAACCCAGGGCTTCATGCATGCTAGGCAAGCACTCTACCACTAAGCCACATTATCAGCCCCTCTGTCATTTTTATAAGTTAAAAACAGTTCACTTGTTGATAGCTTGTTTATAGCAACACAATTTACAACAGCCAAAAGATGGAAGCAACCCAAATATCCATCAGCAGGTGAATGGATAAACAGAATTATTCAGCCTTAAAAAAGGAAGGAAATTCTAGCTGGTGGCTCATGCCTATAATCCTAGCTACACAGGAGGTTGAGATATGAGGATGGAAGCTTGAAGCTAGCCCAAAGGGACAAATCTCAGAGATCCTTATTTCCAATTAAGCAGCAAAAAAAAAAAAAAAACCCACCAGAAATGGAGGTAAGACTCAAATAGTACAGTACCAGCTTTGAGTGAAAAAGTCAAGCAAGAGCTCAAGACACACACACACACACACACACACACACACACACACACACACGAGCAAGAAAATTCTACAACATGGAGAAAACTTGACACAAAAAGACAAATGCTGTATGAGTTGATTCACAGAAGAAGTTGGAGTCACCAGATTCCTAGAAATGGGAAGTAGGATGGGGCAGGGTGCCCATACAATGAAGACTTTCAGTGTTGGATGATGAGCTCTGGAGATGAATGGATGCTATGGTGCACAATCATGTACATATACTTAGTGTCACTGAGATGTACACTTAATGGTTCAAATGGCTACTTTTATTTTTTTATTTTGTCAATTGTGTTACATGAATTCAGGGCCTGAGCTCTGTCCCTGAGCTTTTTCACTCAAGCTAGCACTCTACCACTTTGAGCCACAGCGCCACTTCTAGTTTGAACCATTACCCTCAGATCTCAGCCTCCTGAGTAGCTAACATTACAAGCATGAGCCATCAGCACCGGGCTTATGCTACTCAAAATTTGATTTTTGGGGGAGTCGTTTGTGGGGTGTGAACTCAGGCCTGGGTGCTATTCCTGAGTTCTTTTCGCTCAAGGCTGGTACTCTACCACTTTGCAACATAGTTCCACTTCTGGTTTTTTGATGGTTAATTGGAGGTAAGAGTCTCATGGACTTTTCCTGCCTGGGCTGGCTTAGAACCATGATCCTTAGATCTCAGCCTCCTGAGTAGCTAGGATTACAGGTGTGAGCTTCTAGCACCCAGCTTATCACAACTTTTAAAACTTAAAAAAAATGTCTACCATTTTGTGTGAAAAATAACTAGCTTGAAGTAATAATACAAAATGTCTAATGTGTTAAAGGAAAAAAAAAAACACATCAAGGCATAAGCCTTAGGGAAATCTTGAGGATTTATGTGCTGATGCCTTTTTTGGGGGGACTGAACTCAGCCTTGTGTCATCAGGTAGGTGCTGTATCACTTAAACAACATCCCCAGCATGACACCTTAATGCACAAGCTATCACGGGATGGGGAAAGCACAAGGCCTCATTCGTCTTTCCTAAAGAATAACACCCAGCTGATACCATCTGGTCACTTCTCTTGTTTGTGTTTTCAGAGTATCACATGGCAATGGAGGAAGAAACAAGAGGCACAATGTGCTGGAGATGACAGCTATGGGTCCTGTGCCCACGAGCTTCACCCGGGAGACCTGCCTGGGAGGTAGCTGAGGCGGGCAGCCAGCCCCCAGAAAGGAAGGATGGGTCTGTAGACTCTGGAGGTTTGTGGGCCTCTCGGAACTACAGCCAGTGAATTAAGCCCATTACACCCTTACCTATGGCCCAGAGGACAGTGTCGAAGGTGTCCATGGCCTCCTTTCCAGAGATGCGATCCTCCCAGGTGGCCTGGAGCTTGCCGTCAGGAAGCCTCTGTACATGGGTTGGGATGCAACCCTTCAGGAACCGAGTGCCATGGGACTCCATGTGCTCTGTGACCAAAGATGCCATTTGCTGCAAAGCACAGGCGGACATAAGGTGAGGATGAATGGCAGGCATGGGAGAGAGGTCCTAGCTTTGTCTTGCTCTCAAAGGTCCTAGCAGATGTCCAAGGGAGGTCAGCCCAGAGAAAAAGGTGGGTGTTCACCAGTCCTGTCTCTCCGTTCTCTCACTTCTGGTGGTCCTGGGGATTGCACCATGAAAAATTTTGGCTTATTCCCAACCCCAAATCCTCCAATACTGATACCTTGAGGCTGTAGGCTTTTCCTTAGATGCCAATTAAGGTTTCACTAAAACCAAAAGTAGTTGGCGCTGGTGGCTCACACCTATAATCCTAGCTATTCAGGAGACTGAGATCTGAGGTTTGCAGTTCAAATCCAGCTTGGGCAGGAAAAATCCCTGTGAGATTCTTATTTGAAATTAACCATCAAAAAAACCCCAAACTGGAAATAGAGCTGTGGCTCAAAGTATAGAGCACTAGCCTTGAGCAAAAGAGCTCAGAGACAGTGCCCAGTCCCTGACTTCAAGCTCCATGACTGAAAATTAAATAAATAAATAAGCAAGTAAGCAGAAGGCACTGAATCCTGGGGACTCTGACCTGGCCCAAACAGACAGCCCTCTACTCCCCACATGACCACTAAGAAGTGTGAACAATTGGAGCTGAAACATTTGGCAGGACTTAGCTCCCCATAAATATAGCGAGTGAAGGAAATACTTGGTCCCCTCTCCCAGTGTGGCTGCTGCTGCCACACTGTGTGGAGCTTGAACAAGCCAACAGTGAGATGACCCACAGCTGCTTCTTCCAGGAGGAAATGAACAAGCACCATATAAAGTGGTGGTGGCTCACGCCTGTAATCCTAGCTACTCAGGAGGCCAAGATATGAGGATCACGGTTCAAAGCCAACCCAGGCAGGAAAGTCTGTGAGACTCTCATCTCCAATAAACTACTCAGAAAAAGCTGGAAGTGGTGCTGTGGCTCAAGTGGTAGAGTACAGCCTTGAGCACAAAGAGGTTCAGGCACAGTTCTCAGGCCCTGAGTTCAAGCCCCAGGACTGGCAAAATGAGCTCCTAATGCCAGGAGCTCATCTGGCTAACCACATGGGTGTCTATACCCCAGACCCAGAGAAGAACCATATGCCCCTGCCTGTTGTGCCTCTGAGCTCCAGCTCCACAGATTACCCATCACCCAGAACCACAGGCTCTCCTGGAGCCCTCATTGGCCCTGTTGGTCCAAAGCCAGTAGAACTTTCCCAGGGAGTGCTGAGTGCCCCTGGCATGTGCCAGGGGCCAACTGTCCACAGGGAGAACTGCGTACTCACCCTGTCATGCAGGTCTCAGCTCAGCCTGTGGCAGGTGACTGGTGCCGTGGTCTCTAAGGGCCATCAAGGGTCTGGCAAGGTTCTCCCCTGCTCCCCTTGGCAGGTGCTCACTCAGACCCAGAGGGGGAGTGGGGTCTTTGAGGTAGGGACTATGCTCCTGTCACGCATGCCATCACTTAATGGGACAACTGGAAGGACTGTGTCTTCCAGGCTATGCCTGAGGCTGGGCTCTGGTGTGCTCACAGTCCCCCTGTGGTCAGCAATGCTGTCTGGCAGCAATGTGCATATTCCATGCAACAACCTTTCCTTCCATGTTCTGGGAAGAATGGGTTTGTGTTTCCTAAACAATCTCCTTCCACTCCAGTCTGTTTGTATGGGTAGTCTTCACTTAGCCCCTATCTGCACCTGCCTGAGGCAAGAGGAGGTGGCTGCAAAGGAGCGTGAGCCCTAGGGGAGCAGAGAGGGCACTACCTGGTCGAAGCCGCGGAGGGGCACACTGCGCATCATGATGGTGGTGTCCAGTCCAATCCCTGTGAGGAAGCCAGCACACTCCAGGGCCACATCTGCAGGGCAGGTTAAGGAATCCCACCATGTCGTGAATTTGGGAGCAAAGGGACAAGATCCCAGGACTCTGCTCCAGCAGCCCAGGCCCCAGCACTTACAGCCAAACCCAGAGAAGACTCCCTGTACCCAGCCAGGAGATTCTGCCAGCCTCAGCTTCAAAGTCTCTCCAGAGTACCCACAATCCAGGCTAGTCTCTGTCTCCACTGAGCTTCCTTCCTGGGCATGTATCCTGGTCAGGTCCAGTTAGAGATGGACAGCTTCTAGCCAAACCCAGCGTAGAGGAGCCTTGTGGGTAGAAGCCTTTGACACAGGCTCTAACTAGAAGCTCCAGGGCTTTCATCTTCCCTCAAACATCCTCTCTCCTGACCCTCCGCCCCTCTGGGGCTCCTCTCTTGACCCGCCTTGATCTGATGGCTCCTTTTGAAGAAACAAGGCTGGACCAGGGCTGCTTTCAAGGGAGAACTGCTCAGCTGCCTCCTTGCCAGGTCAGCTGTTCCAGCTGTCTCAGTGTGAGGGCCAGGAAGATCCTCCAGGAAGTCCTAGCCACAGGAGGTCAGCCTCAAATTGTCCTCTGGGCATAGGCTCTCCACCTCCAAGAGGCCCAGTAAATCCCTAGTCCAAAGCAGCAAAGCCCTTGCTGAGAGGGAGAGCAGTTTGGAGGAATTCTGAGGGACCACGCCTCATGTCCCAAGATGGCCACCTCCATGCAAGCAAAGGATACAGCTGGCCCCAACCACCAATCTGTTAAGAAATGGACAGAAAGCACCAGATGAGGTGAGTACCTACATGGCCCATATGATGCCCAGGCTGTCACCCAAAAGTGGGATAGAGAAGGACCCTTCAGCCTTCCTGCCAGGCTTGCACTGAGCTAGTGAGTGCCAAGGTTGACTGTTCAAGCACCTTGTTCCAAGCTACAAAGGCCACTTCCCAGAGGCTATGGCTACGAAATACAGCATGACAAACAGTGTTATTGAACTAGCAAATTGCCTGGTGGTGAAGGGTGGAGATGACAAATAGCACCTGTCCCAGGAAAGGCATGAGGTGGCAGTGGGATTTCAGGGATGAGCTGAGAAATGTCCCTCTGCAGAAGCCTATGAGTTTCATTCTGTCCTCAGGCAGGTTGCACCTGAGGCCAGACTGGAAGCAGGGAGACACTTGGGAGGAGCTGTGAGGGCACCAGACTGTGGGGAGATTTTGAGGCAGTCACTTCTGTGAGCAGAAAACTCTCACATGTGCCTGTGCAGCCCTCCAATACCTGTGCGCAGGGCAAGGCAGCCAGCTCCCCAGAGCAAGGACTGAGGACACCGGGGGGAAGAGCCTGGCATTCTGTGATCTACCAGAAACGTTTGCTCTGATAGTTTAAGCCATCTATGTCAAACTCCACAGTCCACGTGTGCGCATGCACACACATGCGCGCGCACACACACACACATGAATGCAAGCACACACTCACTCACACAATGTGTATATGTGCTGTTATAGAAATGCACACACATCCATGCAATTGCACATGCATCTCATATGCCTATAGGCACACACATGTGCACAAGCCACATATGTGCAAGCACTTGTACACATGCTTAAATGTGCAGATACACATGTGCACGCTTGCATGTGCACACATGTGCATGCATCCACTCACACAAACAGGCTGAGAGCCTAACAAAATGAGGACTCCAGCTACACGTGGGTGGGCTTGTCAGATCACCCCTCAGTCTTTGAACAAGAGGAGGTGATGTAAGGATGGATAAGCCCAATGTCAGAGCTAATCCCTGAAGGTACTAATGATATAATTCCATTTCAAAAAGCAGCGTATCCCTTGGAATACTTTTTGCAGGTGCCCTGCGGGAAGCATCTGGCATGCAGCTTTCTCCAGAGCCAGGGACAGAACTGGCTGGGTACAAGGAGGTCCTGGCCAGTCACACATTCCCATTTAGCATGGAAAGGAAGGTGAGTGGGGACCCTGGGACCAGAACAGCAGGTTCCACATGGGGCCAGCAGTGCCAAAGAAACAGACACAGGGGCCTGTATGCATCACATGTGTGCAGATGGATGTGTGCATGTAACACATATGTCTCTAACTCAAGCCTGGCACTGGTGGCTCACATCTATAATCCTAGCTACTCAAGAGGTTGAGATCTGAGGATTAAAGTTTGAAGCCAGCCTGGGCAGGAAAGTCTATGAGACGCTTATCTCCAATTAACCAGCAAAAAGTAAGAAGTGGAGGTGTGTGTCAAGTAGTAAAGTGACAGCCTTGAGTGGAAAAAGACAAGTGAGAGCTTGAGGCCCTGAGTTTGAGTCCAAGTACTGGCAACAAAACAAACAAAAAACCCTAACTCTTCTTGCACTTGATATATACGGTAAAAGGTAAATATAAAAATAGGAGTTCAAGCTGGGCACCAGTGGCTCACGCCTGTAATCCTAGCTACACAGGAGGCTGAGATCTGAGGATCTCGGTTCAAAGCCAGCCCAGGCAGGAAAGTCCATGAAACTCTTATCTCTAGTAAAAACCACTAGAAAACTGGAAGTGGTGCTATGGCTCAAGCGGCAGAGTGCTTGCCTTGAGCTGAAGAGCTGAGGGACAGTGCCCAAGCCCAGAGCTCAAGCTCCACGACGACCAAAAAAAAAAAAAAAGGAGTTCAGGGCTGGGGATGTGGCTTGGTGATAGAGTACTGGCCTAGCATGCATGAAGCCCTGAGTTCCAATTCCTCAGTACCACATAAACAGAAAAAGCCGGAAGTGGCAGCTGTGGCTCAAGTGGCAGAGTGCTAGCCTTAAGCAAAAGAAGCTCAGAGACAGCGCCCAGGCCCTGAGTTCAAGCTCCAGGACTGGCACACACAAAAAAAAGAGTTCAAATACAATCAGAATTCAGCTGTTTAGATATCCTGCCCTGCAAACAAGATAGAAAGGGCAGCACCCATGGCTCCCTGATCCCCATGGTGTCTGAGTCCTAGCCTCCCACAAACCGTGCAAGCTGTAAGGAGGTGAAACCAGTGCAGTCTGTGTTGGCCTCTTCCTTCATCTGGGTACCTCCCTGCTGGCCTACCCTGGGAAGGTCATTCTTCGAGTCCTCTTACACATTGCTGACCACAATATAACAAGGTCTCACTAACTGAGCAAACAGAGATTGCCTATTCCTTGAATGCAGGACATGAGAACTACTTTTAAACTAATTAAGAAAATTCTGGAACAAAACCAGGGACAGATGCTGAAACCTCTATACCACAAGGATCAGAGTATTCCAGAAGATAGGTAACTGCAGGTTAGATCCTACTGATCATGCTCAGTGTGTACTAGGTCAGGGACAGACTGGGGCCAGTGTGGTAAGGACCAGATACTGAGGTGCAGTGACCAGCCGAGGTATGACAAGCCACAGGGACAGGGTGGTGTTGGTAAATGTTGGAGCCCAGCACAGCAGATCTGGGGGAGAAGGCTGGAAATGCTGCATTTTCAATACATTAAAAGGGAACAAGTGGGAAAGAGGGAACAGTTGATGCTATGCAAAACAAAAGAAATGTACATATCACCCAACGTGGAAGAAATGAATGTATTGCAAAAAGCTCATAGAACTCATAAATGTTATAGGCCATGATAGACAGTTTGCCCCATGAAAGTTAGAATGTGTTTGTGACTTTAACTAAGCATCACTATCCCATAATACTGTGAAATTTGCGAAATTATGTGACCACTTAATCACAATAAAAAATTTGGAAAAAAAAAAAGACTCTGAGACCAAGGTGTCTGTCTATCTGTCCATATCAGAAATCACCATCCTATACCTTGTGAGTCTTGAATCCAATTCTGCATATGTGACCGGTGGCCCCATGATGCTTTTTGGTGTTACCAACCCTTTCTACAGAGGCAGAAGGACCATGAGATTAGCCTAATCACAGGGCTTCCTTGCTCACTGCTGGAACCAGGGAGAAAGCAGAAACAAAAGCATTAAGGCAGGCTGTGAAGCTGAGGCTTAGGGAGCGCTCCATCTGCCTCTCCAGGCCTCTGATCCCCTCTCCGGGAGGCATATCCCCACAGTGGATCCACCTGGCTCCTTGGCAGTCCTGCCAGCACAGGAAATGCTAGCCAGGATGCCCCCAAAGCCTCCACCCCAGTGGGGTTGGCTCCAGGATTGTCTGGGATTTGCCAGCCACATCTAACTCTCAAGGCCTGATGCTGGGCCTGCAGCAGCCTCTGTACTACTCAGCCTGTGATCCCATATAATGTATTAGACATAGAGATGCACAGAGGCAGACAGACAGAGGGACTTTACAGGATGGTCTCCTTTTTTTTTCCTGAACACAAGGATATCCCATTAGACAAAGATGGATGTTAAACAAAAATGAGCTGAGGTGACTTTAAAATAAGCAGCTGTGAAGCTGGGCACTTTTGGCTCATGTTTGTAATCCTAGCTACTTCAGACTGAGGTCCGAAGACCCTGGTTCAAAGCCAGCCTGGGCAAAAAAAAAAAAATCCCTGGGATTTTAACTTTTTTCTGTCAGTCATGGGGCTTGAACTCAGGGCCTGGCAGCTGTCCCTGAGGTTTTTCACTCAGTGAAAACTAGTGCTCTACCACTTTGAGCCACAGCACCACATCTGGTTTTCTGGTGGTTAATTGGAGATAAGAGTCTCACAGTTTTTCCTTCCCTGGGCTGGCTTTGAACTAGGATCTCAGATCTCAGCCTCCTCAGTAGCTAGGATTATAGGAATGAGCCACCAGTGCCCAACTCCCTGGTATTTTTATCTCCAATTAATGAACAAAAAGACAGAAGTAAGGGTATGACTCAAGTGGCAGAGCACCAATCTTTTATTTTTTTCTAATTTACCTTATTATTGAAGTGATATGCAGTGGGATTACCTTTATATACATCAAGTAATAAGTACATTTCCTTTCCTAGAGTGTCATCTGTTCCCTCCTTCTTTCCTCCCATCTCCACCCACAAGTTGCATAGTTCATTTTCATCAATGTCCAGCAGAACACCAATCTTTTTTCTTTTCTTTTTTTTTCTTTTTTTGTCAGTTGTGGTGCCTGAACTCTGGGCCTGGGCACTGCCCCTCAGCTTTTCAACTCAAGGTTAGTGCTCTACCCCTAGAGCCATAGCACCACTTCTGGCTTTTTCTGCTTATGTGGTGCTGAGGAATCAAACCCAGGGCCTCATGCCTGCAAGGCAAGCACTCTACCACTGAGACACCTTCCCAGCCCCAGAGCACCAATCCTGAGTGAAAAAGCTAAGCAAAATCATGAAGCTGGGCTGGGAAGGTGGCTCAGTGGTAGAGCACTCGCCTTGCATGCCAGAGGCCCTGGGTTCGATTCCTCAGCACCACATAAGCAAAAAGAAAAAAGCCGGAAGTAGCGCTGTGGCTCAAGTGGTAGAGTGCTAGCCTTGAGCTGAAGAGCTGAGGGACAGCGCCCAGGCCCAGAGTTCAGGCCCCACGACCGAACCAAAAAAAAAATCATGAAGTCCTGAGTTCAAGTCTCAGTACCTGCACATACACACACACACACACACACACACAAACATACACACACACACACATACAAACACCACCACACCACATCACACCAAACAACAACTGTGTTCTCCCAAGATAAAATGTGCCTTCCTCCCTTTTGTGCTTAGCTAGAGGAAAAATGATGGCAATACCTGGCTAGCTTCTAGACTTCAGAATAAGGGTCAAACAAACAACAAGGCAGCATTAAATCAGTCAGAATTAGAAAAATGCCTCCCCGCTTCACAGAACCCCAG